ACCGCAATTAAAATTCTCAAACCTAAACCAAACCGTTTTTTATCGGTTTGATTTGGTTCAAAATCATTTCGTTGACGGATCCACGTGGCACCAAACCGACAGTTTCTAAAATGCGGTTTCGATTCGATTTTCTGGTTTGACGGTTTTTGCTTACAGCCCTGCCACCTCTACCTGCAACTTCAATCAACCACCGCCTGCTAAAATCAAAGATTTCTTCCAACACTACCATACCCACAGAAACAAGCCAACCACCGTGCGAAAAATCCCCAAACCACCGAATCGGAGTACCTAATCTACAATTCGGGACCTAATGTGCAATTATGCCACATACGATTAACTTCACCTTCTCTATAAAGGATGGACTTGCACTACAAATTTTGCCAAAGAAAGAAATCAGAACATAGGAGAATAAGAGGACAGTGTGTGGTAACAGTGTGGCAGCACCTTCTGCAACCGCGATTTGCGCGCAGCGGCGACGCCTTCAAGTACACCACTTCGCACAAAACGCTACGGTAGATCTCGGTGCCGCCGTCGATTCCATATGGCAACGGTATTCTCGGGCTCTGCAGTTGTGTGGAAAGCGCGACGACGATGGTCCCGAGAAGGCACGTTGCGATATCGACTTCTCCATTGAGTCTAGCGATGGAGAGTTTTTCCTGACCAAGGCGAATCGAGCGACATCGGGATGAAGGCACAAGAAGGAGATGAAAAAGATGGAGAGGGAGAGGGAGAGGGAGAGTGAAAGTGAAAGTGAGAAGAATGAAATAAAATTAGTGTTTGTAATTAAATTGAGTGAAAATATTTAATATATAATTATTATGTAATATCTATTTTTTTATTAAATAAAGTTTAGATATGATATTTGAATTTATAAACTTAAATGCCTTATTTTATGTAATTTCCTCGTAAAAATTGCACCAATTTGGTGCTATGAGATGAAAATAGCCCAATAAGTTTTCCTATGTCCAACAAATATAGAATCACTTGGGTTTATTAAGGAAGAAACCTATGCTTTTACAGAATTCAAATCTTGTTCATTTATAATAATATTTTATTCAATATTGCATATCATACAAGCATTATACATATATTCCGGGAGTAGCTTTGATAGGATTATGCTTTTTTCAGTAAATTTTCAAATTTTTTATTTATATAACGTGGTCTTGATCGATGATGTACATCTTGTTAGTTTTAACCTACCTGGCTACCTGTCCCTCCCAGTTCTGATCTTATTTTAGTGAGGATCGCACAACTCTTACCTCTTTAGGTCACAATAAGCAATCGTAGAACTAAAAAATAAGCGATAATAACAATAATTCATCTGGAAAATCAATGATTTCCAAATTTGAAAAACACAAATTCAAAAAGATGCTTTATCCTTCACACAAAAGTGAGAATACTCCCATGTAATGTATCAGCAGGCTCTACATTTTAGTGCAGGATGAAAACATCGGCTTTGGCTTTAATTTGACCGATTGACTTTGAGATACGGCAAAGCACCTATCACGTTGTTATAGTCACTCCGATCAACTTGTACCTATCCACGATTAGTAAAGTTGACATAAGAGACCATGGTTAAAGTTCGAAAGAAGACAACTAAAACTGATAATGTAAAGATTTCAATACAGGATGGAAATGCTCCATGTCCTTTTCCAACTATTTAAAGCAAAGCCTTGTTAAGTAGTTAATGTTCTTTGGGACGAAAATGAAGGTTACCAAATGGCCTCTTTTCCACCCAAAGTAAAAAAATTTGAAAAAGAACCAAATTCAAAAGCACCGTGTCATGCACATGAAGGAGGGAAAGTGCAGATCTGTCAACTGAATTAGCACCTCATTCGAGAACCTAATGTGTTTCACAACGTATCTCCAAAGTCCAATGATTTGGATCCTGGGAATTCAAATCTTCAATTTATATGCCCCAAACAGGAAGCAAACTGATTCAAGAAATAGTTCGCATAGAAATTTTGGAGTCTGAACGCAGAACTTTTACCAAAGCTCAGGAGAATTGTACATGGATTCTAACAAAAAGAAGATTATAAAAAATCAGGTGCTTTAGACAAGAATGAAGATTTGAATCCATCTCAAGCCCTTGCCATTCATTTTCGACTAGGATGAAGCGAACTTAGGCCAGATTTAAGAGGAAACTCGTGATTGTAAGTTTCAACTTTGGTCTGCCTCTAAATATAAAGCTGACGAACAGTAATAAGACCAAGCAAAGAGGGATTGAAGATGAATATTATCTAAGCCAGATAACTTCACTGTGGTAACTTCAGCTAAAATAAATCCTCAAACTATCCATACTAAAAAAAAAGGCGAAGCACTTCTTAAGTTCAGCAAACTCACGCAATCGGCAAACGGTGAAGAGAAGAAAGCACCTTTTGAAGATTTTAACATATATAATTAAACCGACTCAACTTTTGACCAATTGAAAAAGAGCATTTCATTCTCTAACAAGATTTCCAGCAACGGTCGTACTAACAAAGGCTAGGAAGTTATATCAAAAGATACATTGTTGTTCAAAGCAATTCGATCAGGGGCTAAACGAAAATAGACCGTTATTCCATCTTACCAGACTTGCTCCGACGTTGCACAAAAGGCTTTTGATCAGAACATAACAAAATACAAATAGTCAAACAAAAGAAGTATCAACTATCAAGTTCTGCAATTCCCCATTTCTGAACAATTTTTGTATTAATAATCATACAATAATTTGAGTTTTATCTTCTAGGAGCTCATGCCTTTCCTCCTTTAATTTCCAATCATTATTGTTTGAGCAGTACAACCAAGACCAAGGATCACCAAATTATTATATTTTTATCTCTATTCTTCTAATGTTATTAATACCAATTTTTTTCCTTTGGGAGAAAAAGAGGCATAAAGAAACTCTAATAGTATCCTGTACAATAAATAATGTCCAACGAGCAATTTTGTGCAAGCAAATTTTTCAAAGAAGTTATCACATAAAAACTTAGTTTACAATTTTTGTAACGCGTAAGCTACTAGCAGAAACTGCATTCATTCATGAGCATCCCCTCGCTAACATATGTGTTCTGCATTTGAAGTTCTGAGTTTTGAAGAAAATAGTAGAATGGTTATCCAAAGACTCACAAGTTCACAAGCGCCCAATATGAGTTTATTTCACAGTCAGCATGATAACAAACTAATATGGAACATGGAAGAAACCACCATATTGAGTTGGACAAACAATTCAATCTTTGTATGTCGCTCAGAAATAAATCTTTTTCCGACACAAGTTAATGTGTCACATAATTTGCACACAGAAAATAAAATAAAAGTAGAGAGAAATCGAGATTTCACATATGGAAAAAAAGGGGAAAATTTCATACCACTTTGGAGAGTCTCAATTTCCTCTTAGTATTCTTCTTTCCCAGCAAATGTTGCTTCCCTGCTCTCCTCCTCATTATCTTCCCACTGCCGGTAACCCGAAATCGCTTCGCCGAAGCCTAAAATTCCAATATCAAAAATATCAAAAACCCACAAAACAAAATCCAAAATACACCCCAAATTCACTTAAAACATGTACGCAAAAATGAATATACAAAGAATTGCCTTGTGGGTCTTCATTTTGTAGCCTTTAGCGCAGACTACAGTGACTGGCTGTGAATTTCTTCCAATGGGTGACGCAAAATTGAAAGTTCTGTTAACAACGAGTGGGGCAAACCCAGAAACACAGCGTGAAGAACTGAGGTTAATTGATGATTCTTGTTTCTTGGTGAGTGGTGAGAAATGAACGGTTGTTGATCGAATCGATCGAAGTGGAGTAAAAATTCTCAATCCAAAAGAAAACATAGGTGTAGCTATTGCTGTTGTAGCCATATTCTTGTTTGAAAGGGTTTTCAGAAGATAAATTTTTTTATTTTTTTGCGGCTGAAGATCTCTTGCGAGACGTTACGTGGATAAACTGTAGCTGGCTTCTGGCCTTTCGGACGATTAACTCTTCACTTCGAGACAATTGATAATCCCTTGGTTAGGATTGTTCGGAGAGAACAGAGACACCAGGGCAAGGGTAATGTGATGGTTAAATGGATTGGCCACCCACGTTATGTAACATTCTCTGACGCACACTCACCCAATAAAATATTCTACACACAAATTAATAAAATTTCTTTAAATTTCAACCACACATTCTCCAAAAAATATTATTCATTACTCTATTTTTCTCTCAATAATGAGAGACAGACATACCTTTAGTGTTATCATGATCACTCATTTTTATATTTAGTGTTATCATGATCACTCAATTTTATATTTAGTGTTATCATGCCCACCCAATATCATATAGAGGATATTTGGCGGATATTAAAATTAGATTTTTAGTAAATTGTGATATAAGTTTTTGAAATGTATGGTTGAAAAGTTGTGAAATCATGAAAGATGTGGAGTAAATTGTTTGAACAGTCACTGAACTTTAACATAGTCACGATTTACTCACTAAACTTCAAATTGCCTCTAAAT